GAAGTGCCCAGTAGAGTACCTGGCTGCCACTGTTTCAAGAGGTGCTGAGGAGTACGCTGCAGCAAAAAGAGCCCAAGACTTACTGCGCAGTCTCTCTGCAGACGTGTGTTTGAGTCCCACGTCTACGAAGAGTTGAACCTTCTTTGCAAAATCACTTATTTTCTCTAAGCCCCATTACTCTCATTTTACAAATGAGGAAAACAATACCTGCCCACCCAGGGACTGTGGTGAGGACCAAATGAAGTACTAGGTATAAAAGCACTTCGAAAACTGTAAATATAAGGTGATATTATTACTAGTTTGGACTCCTCTCAAGGCTGCCAGCTTGTCCCATTGAAAACCAAGTACTAGCCAGCCGATGACTCTGCTTGCTGTCCCGTAGAGGCAGAGTTCAGAGCTTTCGTAGCAGGAAGAAAGGTCAGACCCAAAACATCTTTTTTTTTCCTGTGGACAATACCTGGAATTCTAGGTACATCCATTAGAGGTAAAATGAAATCGGTTTGCTCAACAGATGTGTATAGGGCATGGGCAGGCCTCCAAAAGGATGCACCTGGGCACAGAATTGAGACAGAGGAATGAGAGAAATAGCCATCCCATCATAGCCAGCTGGCATCTGTGCCAGTGTTTCTGCCGCGTTCACCTCAGCAGCACTGCCTGCGACCTGGCAGAGAACCTGGTGGAACATACACAAGTCCATCCCTTCCATCCAAACCAATTTCCATGAATTCTCCGTGCATGCCTCTTTTTCTCATTATTAAGGCTCCCGGAAACAGAGCCCTACCTAGCTCTGGCAAGCCTCAGAGGCAGCAGTTAATATTTTTTAAAGATATGTGGAAGAACAGACTTTAAAGTGAAAACTTAGTAAGCCTTAATCCTGCAGTAGCAAGCATTTATTTTTTTCAACTTACCACTTTTCTTTCATTAGATAGACTACAGGATCTAAGATCAGGTGCCAATAACCTAAGGTAATTTCTCTTTTTAAACCAAGAACACAGCCCTCCCTCCCCACAAATCTGTACAATAACCAAGGATCATGAGAAGGGAAAAAAAGGATAATTTTTGCCAAAGCAACCACTAACCCTGGGACATGGCTTGCTGCTCTCTGCCTCCTTCACCCCCTACCACAGAGAAGGAAACGTTTTCACTGAAGGCCTAGCCAAACCCACGGAACTGGAACGAGTGGGCTCCTATTATTCTAATTTGGGTTCATTTTATGCGCTCTGACCCTCCCCTGGCCAAGTATCTAAAGGAGGCTTTTTACAACCTTCACCCCTTCTGCTGCCAAGAACTCTACAATACAACATCCCTCTGATTTGGAGCTTCACAGCCATCTCAGTGGAGCAAGAATACCAATAAAGAAGGCCCATTACTTGAGGGTCCTTTTGCTCTAATGATCCACATACCTCCCTTCTGAGGCTCAAAGGGTTTAATCTGGTTCCAGGATGTCTCACTGCTGGCTACTCATCTGGTATTTAATCAAACAAGCTACGATACTCATTCATCCACACTGAGGGTCTCCTACCTAGAGGAGGCTCTAGTGTAGTGGTTAATGGGCTAGATTCTGAAGCCCACCTACCTAGAGGTTCAAATCCTGGCTCTGCTGCTTATTAGTTATGGGGCTTTGTGCAAGTTATTACTCAAAATGAGCAACAGTTTCCCTATCTGTAAAACAGAAGTAATGATAATAATACCCACCTCATAGGGTTGTCTTACAAAGAAAAAATAAACTAATACTACTCATTAAGTGCCAAGCACAGAATATACAACAGAGTAAGCCCTTGAAAGTGTCAGTATACGTGCCAGGCACTGTTGTGTTTGAAGCTAATGAGGCCATATCCTCAGCCTCTTTTTTTTTTTTTTTTTTGAGGCCACAGCTTTAATTCTAAGATTAAACAGTACGTGCCTTTGGTTACAGGGGGATGGAAGAAGAAAGAATTCAAACCTCAGATGAAATCCACAAGACTCATTCTGGATCCAAGGTCCTCCACAATCTCCTCCCATCCTTCTTTCCAAACAGACCTCCACCTACATGCCCATACCAGTTCTCCAGTTCATTCTTTCATTAGCAGAACATCCAGCACTTAAGTGCCATATACTGTGCTAACACATTCTCCATCTGGACATCCCAGAAGCTTCCCATTTCTAGATTCTGCCCAGCCCTCAAGACACAGCTCAAGAGCTGGCATTTCCACAAAGCCCTCCCTGACTGCTCTACCCCAAGAAGGCTTCTTCTGACTCCTCTGAGGTTTTTTTGGCTTTAACACAGCACTCAGCCATATACTGAATATACTGTTACATGCTTATATTTTATATGCCAAACTAAAATACAAGTAACTCCAAAGAACGGATGAAACTTACATTTCTTTGGATGTCCCAAAGTGACTAGTACTGTGCTTTGCACTTAGTAGGGACTTGGTAATTAAATGATTTACTTGATGTTTCAAGAGGGCACAGATGGCTCAAAGCAAACCCATTATCATTCTTTTAAAACAAAATTCATTCTTCTAAAACAACTGCTCTTCTGATCAACACTCCCTCATAGTGTACAGGCTTAAAGGCTCAATCTCCAGACCTAGACTAACTAGGTTTATGACTAGGTTTATGGTTAAATCTGTCATTTGTCAGCTGTGTGACCTTGAGGAAGTTACTTAACTTCTCTGTGCTTCAGTTTCCTCATCTGTAAAGTGAGGATAATCAAAGTTCCTACACTTCATAGGGTAGTTATGAGGATGAAATGAGACAATACATGAAAAGCACTTTGAACTGGGCCTGACAGATAGTAATTACTCTATAAATATTCATTATTATTAACATCTTCCTGAAGTTCAGCTCATCCAGAATGTCCCAAAAAGCATTTTGTAAAGTATGCTGAGACTATATAGAAAGGTTCCAGTAAAAAAAAAAAAAAAAAAAGGTTTAATAGAAAGTTACTGGTTATCAGTACACCCAGAACATTTCTCCCTTCTTCATTCACCTGGCCCAACAGGTTGTTCAAATGGGAAACAACCAACAATCTTCTAAACCAAAAAGGCATCCCTACCTCTACATTATTGATCAATTCCCTCATGCTGGTATAAAATCTTTAATTCTACTATACCTTCCACCTATACCTTCCACTTTAGCAAAGCTTTGATTGTGTGTACACATGAAGAAATATTTTCCCAATGGTTTGAAAAAGGAAGGAAAGTCTTAAGCAAAACTGATTCACTATCAAACACATCAAGGCCATATAGAGCCATCAGACTTACCGTTTTCCCTTCTTCAGCTGTATTTTTCAGCCTGACCCAGGCATTAACGAAAGCAGAAAATCCTGCCTCAAACCCACTAGGTATGACTATACAGTTTGTCATCAAAACAGTAAATCTTCCATCAAGTCTTTTTTTGCCCACCACCTTTTTTTCTTTTTTTGCCACTACTTTTCAATGAGTTTTAATTACGATCCATTTTAATGCATGGGCTAAAAGGTAAATAACTCCTCGATCATGAGATGAAATGAAACCGCTGACAGACAGTAATATTGAGAATCGGCAGTTCAAATTCACACAATGACATTTAAAAAAAAAAAAAAAAAAAAAAACTGGCAACATTCAAGATATTTGCCGTAAGGGGGACATTCTGCTTTCCAATCTCAAAACAATATTTCTGCCAGTTAGCTGTCACTGAGTTTGTTTACATATGACCTCTGGTCTGAGTCTACTGGAGGTTTAATTATGGTATGGATTCCTCAGTATAACACTGAGATTAAGAGCACAGATGTAAAAACTGGATATAATAGCTAGTTCCTCCACTTCCTAGCTACATGATGGCTGGGCAAGTTACCTAAACTTCTCTACATCTCATTTTATCATCTATAAAATGGGAAAAATAATTGGATCTACCTAGCATTGGTATAATGATTAAATGAGTCTGTTAAATACTATTCTTATTGATTTTTACATTCTTCGTTGTTTACTACAGTGCCTGAACATAACACCCACTCAACAAATGGTAGTTATTATCACTCTCATCTTATCTGTATACGGCATTAAATACTCAAAACCAAGAGGGTCATCATTTTTCAAGCCAATGCTTTTCTCGTTGAGACCAGTCACAGCTTCCAGAACTGGTCCAACAAATGAGTTTTATATAGCTCATTACAGGATAAATACAAAGCAAATTAAAACAAAATACAGCAATTTAAGTTTCTAGATTTGTTAAATTTGACTCTGAACACTAAGATTTTGGGATGGGCGATCTGATACTCTTACTTAAGCAGCATCGTTCCAACCAAGTCATTTGCTTCTTCTCACCTCCAGGAAGCACAGAGTATTTCCAAGTTAACATGAGAATCGGGCCAATAAAATGTTACATATTAAAATATGTGTAAAAGGCAAAATTAAATACTTCCCAAGCAACCCATGCTGGGAGTGTTACCTCTATCTAGAAGGTCTACTTGTTATGTAATAAAGAAAAGAGCAAAAAGGCTTTCTTGAAATTCTTACTTAGGAACAAGAACGTAAATGTATACTATGTGACAAAATTAAGTGGGATTAAACATCAGCATATTTGTTCTCTATTCACCTCAACACTAAAGGTTAGATATCTGCATCACCAACATTAGAATGGCTAGCCATACACAGCCTAGTAAAATACAGCATAGGCAAAGATACTACTAAGTATATTTAAAAAAAAAAAAAAAAACATCAAACCCGTTGCCGTTGAGTCGACTGCGGCTCATAGCAACCCTACAGGACAGAGTAGAACTGCCCCATAGGATTTCCAAGAGCAGCTGGTAGATTCAAACTGCTAACCTTTTGGTTAGCAGCCCTATCTCTTAACCACTGTACCTCCAGGGCTCCAAGTATCTATATAGTAGTCAAATATTTTATCTCCCTGAAAAACATGAATACTCAAGTTTTGCATAAACATGACATGGTCTAAATTCTTCTAAACTGAAGAGAATGAGGAAAAGTAGATCCAAAAGAATATAATGAACATGCAGTTTACATTATGCAACTTACCTGCAGTGGCTACGCAGGAACTCATCAGGGCAAACATGGAGATCACGTACTGAGAAGTCATTTTTATTTCTCCAACCATGTGTCTCATCCAGTAACCTCAGCCTGTAGTTCTCCAGATCACAGACAACTTTTGCAAATCACAAGTAGCTTTAAAATCTCCTCTTTCCAATTCTTAAATTGCCTGTAAAAATAAACAAATTTCAATATGAAAACTTAATGCAAAAACTGCTTCTCATAAACAAGCACACATTAAAGTTAAATGGATAATTTCTGAAAAGTGTAAGATAAGAAATTTATCTTAAAAGATGTCAAGACAACCACAGCTACCATAGCCTCCACCAGACTGAGTCCAGCACAACCAGATGGTGCCTGGCTACCACCACTGACTGCTCTGACCAGGATCACAACAGACAGGCCCCGACAGAGCTGGAGAAAAATGTAGAACAAAATTCTAACTCACAAAAAAAGACCAGACTTACCAGCCT